TCTCAGTTGGAGTCCTATTTGCCTCACTTATCTGAATGTCAAATTGTTTCACTCTGTGGGGATTTTTCTGTCATTAATTCTGTGAACAGATTTTTTTATGTAATTTGTACTTTCTCCTGCTATTTCATGGATTCCTATCAGTCTTATATTATTCTTCTTTGCATCATCTAAGAGTTGTTGGATTGATTTCTCATGATACCTTACTGTTTTTAAGAGATTTTTCTTTTCATGGTCACTGACCATAATCCTATCTTCTATATCTGAAATTCTTTCTTTACATTCATTCATCCTGCTGCAAATGCTTTCTATAGAGCTTGTAATCTCCTGGATATTGTTTGAATTTGCTTCATGGATTCCATTTCTTTCATAGGTTGGGCATTCAAGGCTTCCATTTCTTCCCTGTTGTGGGCATTCATGGTTTCCATCACAGTCCAGAGCTCATCTATTTTTTTTTAATATCTGTTTCTCTTCTAGAGTCTCTAATCATGCCTTTCATTCCTCTCACCATCTCTGTGGCTATCTGGGAAATTATTTCTGTTTTGAATTTCTCTAGCACCTCATTTATCTATTTTGTTACTTCCTGTGCTATTGGTTCAGGGTGTCCAGGTGGTTGACAGACTTTTCTACCTCATTTCCCACAGAGTTTGTCTTTGGTGAGATGGAAGTCTGTATTTGTGCCTTATTTAAATGTCTTCTCATTTCCATTTTTGTCGTTGGTACTGTTCTTGGTTTAATTCCTGGGTTAATACTTCGATCTTCCTTCCAGGTACAGCTGGTCTTTAGGTTTTGTATCTCTAATAACTGTGGAGCAATCTCATTTTCATTATACCAGGGAGAACAACCAATTAGATCAATCACAATGCCTTAGCCCAAGTGATACAATCAGAAACACAATAACATCAAGCACAGCTTAGAAAATGACAACTTGTGGTAGTTATTAATCTATCACCTTTGACTGTGTGAATTAAATCAAAATTGAGGCCCAAATATGTTTATAGTGAATAAACACATCAATATAGCAACTTTACCCTTCAGGATGGGGATTTAGAAGGAGTTTGGGAAGGAGGGATAGAAAGGATAGAGAAAGGTTAGAGGTGAGGTCAGGGGACACAGGAAGGTCACACAAGCTCTAGGGAGCTGTTGAGGAGAAGAGGAGAACACAGAACAAAATATGCACAAGAACAGAACAAACTAATCACAATAGGTAGACTAGAGATTATAATCACGTTCTTTTAAAACTAAAGGCAACTGAGAGAAGGAAAAAAAGAAGAAAAGCAAAAGAAAATAAATTCAAAGTAGGTTAGGAACAAAAAGGGAGAGTAATGGAGATCAAGGTGGGAGAGAGAGAGAGAGAGAGAGAGGAACAAAAAGATTTAAAAAGGGGAAATTTGAGATAAGAGAAAAAATATTATTTTGAAAATAAGAAATAATAGAGGACCTCCTTCAGAGTGTGCCTCTGTTGACACAGTAGACAGCATGGGCAGGAGTGTGCAGATATAAGTTAATTAGTCTCAGCAAGCCAGCCACTGCCCCCTGAGGTTCAGGCTCACCTCTTTCTCTTGTTCTGCAAGGCCCAAGTTGAGATCTCTGACCTCCTGCTGGGTTGAAGTCTGCAAGGTTCTACTGCAGGTTCCAGCTGTCTTTCCCCTGAAGTTAGACCAAGTTCTGATGTTAGGTGCTAGTCCCTCTGACTTACCAACTATGGTGGTGTGATCTCTTTATCACAGAGATTTTTGTCACTTTTACAGTGGGCTTCAATTTGCATCTAGGAGCCTCAGAGAGGCCCTCTTTCTCTTGTTCAGGCAGGGGGCACAAACACTAAGCACTGGGCTGAAGGGGTGGGCTAACCAGAGGGTCCTGAGCTGCTGCCAGTTTTCCTCTGGTGCTCTGGGGTGCTATTATTCTGTATGTTAAATAAGTTTGTCTTATATATATATATGTCCATGATTCATCTTAAATTAATCTTTATTTGTGATTAGGAAAGTGTTGGAATTTCTTTATCTCCCCATGTGTAGATTAGATTTTATTTTCTGTGTTAAATTGCTGAAGTACTTTTTTTAAGTCAGTTGGTCCAAATGTGTATTCTTTTGCTTGACCTAGTGATTTTTCTCCCTTAGGCCAATATTACACTGTATTTATTGGTGTTGGTGTATAGTTAATTTAGTAATTGTGTAGCATGAGCCCTCTAGGTTTTTCCTTTTTCAAGATTATTTTGTTTTCTAAGTCTTTGCTTTCCCATATAAATGTTAGAATAAAATTTTAATTTAGAAATCCCTCCTGTAATTTTTGACTAAGTTATGGTGTTCAAATCATTTGTTCATTTCAACTAAGCTAGTGAACTTATTTATAATTGATAATCTCTTATTATTGCTTTATTAAGATCTGCACTTTTCTCCCATTTCCCATTTAGTCAGTTTCTTTATATTTATCCTGCTTCAGGTTTGCTTAGATTTTTGAATCTATATGCTGATATTTTCATGAAGTTCTGACAATTTTTTCTTGAAATATTTTCTCTGACAGTTTGTGTGTCCTCTCCTTTGGGGGCTTGTATACATGAGGTAGATACTTGATACTATGCCTCATATTACTGAGGCTTTTTTAAAAAGACTTTTTCCCATTTATTCCTCAGTTTAATTACCTCTAGAAAGTGATGTCAAGTATGTTGATTCTATCTGCCATCATCTGTAATATGCTAATTCATTAAATCAGTTATGTTTAATTATAATTTTCAGTTTTATAATTTCCAAACTTTGTTTTTAAAGATAGTTTTCATTTCTTACGAGATTTCCCATCTTTTCCATTGCTATGGCTGTATATTTACATCCTTAAATATATTTATAATAGCTATTTTAAAGTTACTCCATGCTAATGCCAATGTTTGAATTATCTTAGGGTCAGTATGTATTGACTTATTTTTCTATAGACTATGGCTCATCTATGACTGTTGCTTCATATGTTTACCAATTTTTAAATTTTTGTTAGACATTTGAAAAGATAGATGGTGGGAAGTCTGAGTCATGCTTTCTTCCTTTAAGTTTTAAATTCTGTGTTGGGAGGGTTGTTGAATTATTAACAGATACTCTCAATTTTCCAGGTGTCACTTTCTACTTTCTGAAGCCTGGTTTCTTTTCATTTTGTCATTATCCTGAGGATTGATCTTGAATCTTGGGCTTGTTCTTTGTTTCTACAGCTTGGCCTTTCTGCAGTTGGTCTTTGAGATCTCAACTGTACACTTGCTGTGTACAGTGAAGTCTGTACTCTGGCTGCCTGGAAACTCCAACACCTCTCAGCAATCTCTAACTTCTAAATTTCCCTTTAATTTTCATCCCACAGAAGCTTCTCTGATAAGCCTTGTGCATATGCAGGAGGATCTCACACACATAGATCTCAGCCTGGTACCGCTTGCAGCTTGAGCCTGTTTGTTACTCTGTTGGACAAACACGATCTCTGCCTCCTCAGCTGAGCAATAGCACTTTCCCTGGGCCTCACCCTCCATATGGATTTTGGGTTGTGCACATAGGCACAAAGCCCAGACAGTCATCAGAAGTTAGTCTTGGTGATTCTTATTTCTCCAAGTTTTCAATCCTGAAGGGCTTGATGTTCAGTGCCTAAAAACATTTTCTTCATGAAGTTTTTGAAATTTTACAGTTTTATCATTGTTTTGCTCAGAAAGGTCACTTTGTACTACTGTGACCAAAGCCAGACTGAATTTTGATTCCTTGACCTAACATCATCTTGCCTTGTGACCTTGGGCAAGGTTATGCATCTTCTGTATTCTCAGTTTGTTTATTTACAAGTAAGGATCATAATATTAGGTAGTAAACTCCATGAGAATGGCTACTGGCCTACTTCACTAATTTCTGAATCTCCAATGTGTAACACATTGCATAGGACACAGAGAGCCCTCGACAAATGTTCATAATTTAACTGTACTAATTCATTACTTTGTTCATTAAAGAAAGGTTACTGAGTGCATATCTACCACACAGAGATATTATAAAGAATACATTTAAGGAAATCACTCACGCAAGGTGCCTGGTAAGAAAGTTGGGTCAGAGTGAGGATGCAGGACATTATAGATTAAATTTAAAAATTGCTATACATAATTTGAGAATAACTATATTTGCAGATCCTAGGGTCTATGCAAATGACATTTAGAGAAAAAGTCAGCAGTATCTTAGGAAAAAGTGATTCACATGCTTCATGTGAGGACTGAATAACCTATGAAAGCCACAGTTAGTTTCAAAGGATATGAGATCAGTGCATCCCTTGTGATTGTATCTGTCGCTGGAGCATTTGTAAACCTGTGGCTCCCAGCAGGGGTCGGTATGCCAGTGGAGCTCACATAGCCATACTCTGTGGCAGTCCCCAAGGGTGGTGTCCTTGCCTGCACTAATGAGTCTCTTCAGTCAGATAGCTTGTAAACAAGCCATGATTTCTGGTCCAGTATAAACTACAGCAGCAGTGGGGATCTCAGGAAAAGCAAGAAGCAGGAGGGAGCCAGATTTATGAAGCTCTGGTGTGATGTGCACTCTCTGACTACCTGATTATGCTGTCCCTTTTATGCATTTTGCTTTACATTCCACAGTGTTTCTCACATATGTGACCTCATTTGAACCTCTCAGAGGCTCTATTACAGAAAAGGGCAGAATTGCTTGTCACTGAGCAGAGCCCAGAAGGGGTACTGTGACTTGCACTCAACTAGGAAGAGTGCATCAGCCTACTTTGGGATTCATGTGGCAGAGACCAAGTATTTTTGGCATGATCTGGAAACAATCTAGAGATGCCCTTTGCCCAAATGGTGGTCATTACAGGGCACACCCTTACAACAAGGCCTTTCTGCCTTCACACAGAATCTGGGGAAGTCAGAGCTCATTGGAGACTCGGGCACTGACAGGCCCTGCTGCCTTGGTCTGTGGAGGCTAAATCAGGAGCTGAGAATGGCTGAGCCATTCACTGAAGCAAAATGGCCAGCTCTGAGGACAGGCATGAAACCCTTACGTGTCTTCATTCACTGTCTCTCCTCATGCCCACTTTTCCATAAAGGCATCCTTAGCTTTGAATTCCTGGAATCAAAGAGAAAAAGATGACAGAAGCTTAGGAGTATATGTAGTACTCAGACTCCTCTCTGAGACTGCCGGTCAGTCTAACAGGTTTCCATCAAAGAGTCCCTCTCTGGAGGAGGTGCTCCGAGGCACCCATCAGGACCACAAATAGTTTCTCTAACCTTACGCTGAGTCAAACTGTATTGATCAGAACCAGTTGGGAAATGAATTACTGAGGCTGATCTATAAAGAAATTCAATCTAGAGATGGAGCAAACTATTGTCAGGATTCCTTATTAGGCACTCTACACCACAAGCTAAATAAAGCAAACAAACAAACCCACACACAAAGGGAGAACTTTTTCAAGGAATTAAATGACATTGTGGCTGGGGAATATGGGTCCAACTAATACCATGGTAATTGACCACTTTTTAATAACCAACAAATTGATCCCTCTCTAACAATGCTTCCGAGAAGGAAGAATAAAAAAGGGACTGTACTAACAAAGAGTGAAGTGAATGAAATTAAACCCCTAGCTTGGCTATTTCAGTATCCATAAGATGAGAGTCTGATTCTGTCAGAAACTGCATTCTACAAAGTATCCAAACTGTTACCTCATTTACTTAGGAGGTGGAAAGAGTGTGGGGAAAGAGGGAGTCTTCTGGGTGAGGGGAAACCAGCAAAAATATCGAACCCTCAATTTCAAAATTGCTTAGCCAAAGTAATTTTAATTGCTGCCTTTGTTATAAAAGATTAAAGGTAGTTATGTTCTGGTATACCTCACTTAAAGCAATCAATATGTTCCTGAATAGTTATGTGCAAATCAAATTTTTGTAAATCAAATCCAATTTTATATATCCTCAGAGAGGGCTGCTGTTTCAAGGAACCCCTTTAGTGAGTCCCTTTGTAAGACCTAAAACCATTCTTTAATTTATTGGACTGGTAGGTTTAAAATTTTATAGATTATGATAAATTCAGTCAATAGAATTTTGTCCCTCTCTCCAATAATGAGGAGAAAGGGCTTGAAAATGAAATAGAAATGAAACAGCTTAGCGGACACTAAATCACAGCCAAAAGTGCCTCTATGACAAATTGACAGATGCCGAGGTTACTTATTGTGTTGTTTACATTTGCTGCTATAACAGTGAACAGCAGTGACCATTGCTTAGTGTTAGGACAGTGTAACTGTAAGAGAGATTAAAGTGATACCTAGAAAGAGCTTTAAGAATGATCTTATCCAATTATCACAGCAGAGATTTCTCTCTTCAACATGCCAGCATTATGGCTGTGTGGGCATTATGTAGATAATGCTGCTTGAATGTGTTGTGGCTTTTGTTTATAAATTTATTCACTGAATATTTATTTAGTGTTCACTATAGCTAAACAATGTCCTCCTGAGGGAACAGAAGACAAAGACAAGACACAATGTTCACTTTTCATAGACTTTTCTAGAAAGGCAGAAGATATTCAGTAAATAATAACACAAATGATTTGTGCCCTCTTGTGATAAACACTATGAAGTTTACCTATAGATATTTTATGGCTTGATTATGTCCCCCAAAGTCCCTGTGTTAAAAACATAATCCCCAATGCAACGGTGTTGAGAAGTAGAACCTTTAAGAGACGACAGGTCATGAGGGCTTTGACACACATTAATGGATCAATGCCATTATCACAGGAGCATGTTGAGTACCATATGAGTGGGTTCCTGATAATGGGGTGAGACCTGCACCTTCTCACTGGCTCTCATGAGCACTCCCAACAAGTGATGCTTCTTGTCATGTCGTGCTGCAGTAGCGGGGCCTCACAGATGCAGTCTCTCACTGCTGAATTTCCCAGCCTGCAAAACCATGAATTAAACACATTTTATTGTTTATCAATTACCCAGACTCAGGTGTTCTACGTCAGCAACTCAAAACAAGCCAAGACAGGGAACATGTGAAAGTTGTCAGGAAATACTGAACCTAGGAAGCTGCGTTTCATCTGTGACCTTGAGGAGCAATAGAGGGTGGGACAATAGCAAGCACTTGGAGCCCACTGTGCAAATGTGACATGATTTGACTTATGTTTCACAAAACTCACTCTGGCTGCCATCTGAAAAGTGAAATAGAGCCGGGGATTTAGCTCAGTGGTTCCGCCAGCTGCCTTGCAAGAGCAAAGACCCAAGTTCGATCCCCGGTACCAAAAAAAAAAAAAAGAAAGAAAAGAAATAGACCAGGGCAAGGGTGGACACAGACAGAACTGTGGTCAGGGTACATGATGCTGGTGGCTAGAGCCAAGGTGCTAGCAGTGGAGATGGATTATCCCGAGAAGTAGGTTATCCCGAGAAATTTTGGAAGTAGAATCAGTAAGGCTGGGTGATTAACAGGATATGGGAACGAAGGACAGCAAAGGGTCAGGAATGTCTCCTGTACTGCAAAATCAGAGAGCTGTGCCAGCCAGTGAAGGGGGAAGATACCTGGTCCAATGAATTCTGGGCATGCTGAGCCAGAGCGGCGTCAGTGGAGACGTATAGTAACTAAGTTTTGGACTCTGTGATTTTTCCAGTGTGGCAGACAAGGATCCTCCTGCAGGAATGCGAGTGCACTACAGTTCCCCAGCACTGCCCCAGGTTCAAGGACACGGCTTCAATATCCAGAGGATTGCAGAGCTATGATGGGAATATAGGATCATGGGGACTGAGTGACAGCAATGGGCCTGGATCACCAAGATAATGAAGGCAGTAAGAAATGTACACTTTTGACCTTTGACTATAAAGCATTGTGGGAGACAGCAATTTGGTAGCAGGAGTAAACATCTGTAAAATGTGTAAAGCACAGTAGAATGGCAAGGTGGGTGTGACACCTGGCAGAACTTCTCACATGTGCCATGTTAGGCAGCTAGTGACTTTGGAGAGATGAAAGAGAGGATTTAGTTCTGTCTCTTGTATCATCTCTCCAGATCCACTTGCCTTATGCCCTGCTGTGCCTTCAGGGCCCTTGTCTTCTTCCTATATATCCTCAATAGGCCACATTATAAGTTAGAAATGACCTCCTGTATTAGTCCATTTCCTCCACTTGCATATGGCAGAACTCCGCCTAACAGAGATAAATTTAAGTGGCTCTGTAACAGGCCCATGGACACAAGCTGCACAGGTGTTCTGGGACTGAATCAGTTGGGAAAGAAGTGCCCTGCTGCCTCCACATGGCCAGCATGTCAGACTCTCAGACTGAAGTGTCAGTGCACACCTCTGCCACCACATCAAGTGGTTCCTTGACATAGAGAAATACAAAGATCAGGACAGGGTGTTAAAGGAAAGCAAAGAGTCAATGATGAAAGACCTATGTCTGATGACATTACCTGAGGTCTTTGATTTACCTCCTTCTGGAGTAGATTTACTCTTGGTTTTCGGTATACATAAGATCATAGAGTTTATTTTTATCAGGTTAGGGATTTGCTTACCTGACATTTGAAATTTTCTGACTAGTTCCATGCATGCAATTTAGTTCATTGTGATCTACCTGTAGTCTGGCTTCCAGAATGCAGAATACAAATCATGTGGTCATAATGAAGCTTAGGGTGTAAAAGGAGGGGTCACTGTGGGTAGCATTTGTGGTGTGAGTAGCATGAGATGACAGGGAGACAGGGCAGAAGAGGGAGTACCTTTCCTGGAATTCTGGCCATGAAGGACAACTGAGCACAAACCCCACCTGGTCAGATGCCCTATATCTACAGGAATGAGGACTCTTCTCAGAAGACATGCTTCCTTCTTTGACTTGAACCCATCAATGAGTTAATGCAGGCTTTCTAAATCAATGGAACCTACTATACAACCCCAAATTAAAGATGGCCTGGGTGCTAGAAGGCCCTATTTGGCTAATATAAAATATGACACAAATTATTTGGGTAATTTTGATAAATTGAACAGTCTGATCTCCAGAAAGAATATCCTCATCTATTTGCATATCCTCATCAGAAATTTCACAACTGGAAGTGACCCACAAAACCAGACACAAACTAATTAAATATCTGAGTCTGGATAGACCTTCTCAGAGTCCTTCTGCCTGAGAAGACTGGAGCCTGGAGTCTGGGCTCTTCTTCATGTTTAGGGTGAGAAATATGGTCCTGTATCTGATGCTATGGGGAAGAGAATTAAGGCACAAGCTACTGGCCAGGTAGGTAGCTCCTAGCACAGCCAACAGGGAACCAGATCCTAGAATATAAGTTACAATTCATTTCATGCTTTGGGGATCCTTTTTGACTGATGATCTACATGGTTGTAGTCATCCTTTGAAATTGTTAATCATGAAGAATGCAAAAAAATAATACTCATCATAAAAAAACCACCACTAAAAAGATATCCATTGTGTTGTGTCTCCCTTCCCTTATACTAGTTGCCTTTTATCACATCTTACTGGAGCTATTTCTGTCCTTGGGGAGTTAGCAGGAAGATCACATATTGTACAGAGAGCAGGGTGTTAAATTTATGCAAAGGAAAGAAATGTGTTATGGCAAAATTATTTATTGCATGGCATCTCCCTTGAGAGTTGGTCTCTTGTTGGAGCTTTAAGGACAGCAGTTCTATATTTGTCACATGGCAGAGCCACTCTCTTGTCTGCCTCCTGCTGTCAGTGCCAAGATAGTTTATGTAAAGTCGTGATGCAAACCTGGCACCGTTAGGAGGCACGATCTGGTCTAACAGAGTGTCTTACCTTGTACTATTTGTGCTCTGAGAGGAGTGCATCTTCAGGGAGAAAGAAAAAATATGAGAACAGCAAGGTGTTGAGTGTCCTGGAAGTGGGCCACATCACGGCAAGCAACTAAACAGTGAGACATTTTACTGAGCACCGAGGATTTTACCAAGTGTGTGCTGCAGTGTAGCATCCAGTCCCTAAGACCTAAGATTTAGTCTTGCTTCTACTACTTGCTGGCTGTGGATCTCACAGAGAGCTCTTCAGCATTTCTGAGCCATCATCATCGTGGTTGTGAAATAGGAACACGCTACCCATATGCATTGTTTTATAATTGAAATAAAGTGTGTGTTCAATAAAAGGTGCTAAAATTATATTAACTTTCTTCTTTTTTTATAAAGTTAAATATTAATTCAGTGTTTTTCCAAAAAAGATTTGCTCCCTGGATCATGTGGGTAGTTTTTCTTAGGCAATAATGATAGTCCTTAGTGTTCACAGTCATAGCATCTTTCTTCCTTTCCTTTATCAGACACTGTGTATCGATTATGCCACCCTTCCAAGGATTCCTCAGGATTCTTCTCAACACAGTGCTAGTCATTTAAAATCAGAGATGATAAATATAAAGTACTTTTTTCAACTGCGATCTAGATCATAGTCATAAATTCTTCTGTTAATTATTGCACCTAGATTGTACAGATGGTTTTAATGCACATTAAATGCATAAATGGACCTCCAGGAACTTGGAGGACACAGGATTTTGGAAAGACAAGCCAACAGATTCTTATTCTTGGTCAAATGATGAATCACAAAATTTCTATCTCACCTTTGGGCACTTATGTCCCACCACTTATGTTCTTAAAAGGAGAAATCTTTAGCTTCTCATACATACCCAGGGAGCAGAGATACTCAGTGAGGCATTGCATGTATTATAGGTTAAGAGCTGAAATTTATAGTTGGACAGTCTCTACCAGGTGCCAGCAATATGACTCTGGGGGAAGTTGGCAAACTTACTGGCCTCCATTTCTCTGTCTACACAGTTGTACAATGAGTATAACAAGAGCCTAACTCCACTGCTGCTATGAAGAATATAAGAGAGTGTGCTCATAAAGGGCAGAGCATAGTCACAGGCTTATATTAAACAGGCATTATTAGTAGTAGTAATATCAATCATCATCATCATCATTATCATGGGCAAGGACAAGAAACCCCAAGAAACTCAAAATTATGCTGTTATAGAACAAAAGGAATTGGAAACCAGAGACACTGGGGAAGACAAGCTGTCTCCCAATATTTGGAACATATTTGATAAAACCGCTGATAATAGCATAGTTCCCCAATATTGCTACCTTGTGCTTGAAAGGATCATATCTCTTCATCCTCTCTGATAACTGGCTAGGGCATATGACTTGCTTTGACCAATAAAATTCAGAAGAAAGTAATGACTGTCACAACTTATCCTTATTACCATTCATGGTTCCTCCATCTCACTTTCTCCTTCGCTCCAGGCCAAGATAGAGAATGGTCCTTCAGAATGTGTCCTGAAATGAAGAAAATCAGAGTAGATATTCAGCTTACCTGGAGCTGGGGTGTACATGAGCAAAAAAGAAGAAAGAAAACTGTGTTGCTAAATCACTGAATTCTGGCACTCATTTGTTATTCATCATAATTTAACCAAGCTAAGACATTTTCTTTTCAAGCTTATGGGGTATAATTAAAGCCAAAGGGTAGAATATGAAGCACTTTCTTTCATTATGGAAATTGACTGTCACTAACAGCTGTCTGAAAATAAAGAGGGCTTCCTGGGAGGGTACTTCAATGGAAGCATTGAAATAAAGTTGTATAAGTAGTTGTGTCCGATATTGTACAGAACTGTGACAGTAGTGCATGGTATTTGGAAAGAAAAGGGTTCTGGAGTCAAACAGAGATCTTCCGGGCTTATCACAGGGTTTAATACACTGAGGTCACTATAATGCTACAAAAAGATATACCATACATACTATTTTCCAAACTTACTAGACCAGAGAACAGTCCTCTCTCCAACTGATCACCCCCAAAAGAATGTATTATGACACAGATGTTTTTCAAGCCCCATTTATTTACTTATTTCAAGGAGGAAATGTTAATTGTAGTTTACACTTTGTAGAGGTTTCAGTTCATAGCTGCCTACCTCAGACTCAGGGTGCCATTTCAGAGGGGCATCACAGAGAAGAAACAGCTCATGATAGGCAGAAGGCAGCAAAGCAGTAGGCTGCTTTTCCCTTCAATCCCTTCCAGGATACCAACCTCTTGGATGGTGCCACCCACACCCTAGAGTGGGTGTGGTGGATTAACTAGTGGTCAGTTTGGAACTTGTAATTGAACTGAATAGCATAGTTAGGAATGGAAGACCCACCTGAAGATTATTGCCAACAGCGCAAAAAAGAACTGGACTGGATGGGGATTTAACTCAGTGATACTGCTGCCTGCCTTATGAGTGCAAGGTCTCAAGTTCAATGCCTGGTGCTAAATATATATATACAAAAACAAATAAAAAAGAACTGGAGGGGAAGATTGTGGGCTGTTGATTTTGTAGAGATAGCTTGCTTTGGTTGGTTTTCCTGATTTGAACTTGGCTGTTCTTGTTGGAGGAGGGGCTCAGGACGTTGCTGTCTCATCAAGGGTGCTCTGATCTTCACTGTGAGCATCACTTCCTGGCTCCAATGTAGATCCCTCAGTCTGAAGGCACACATTTCTGCCACCAGTGTAATCAAACCCAATTTAGAGTCAGGAATGGTGGCATATTCCTGCAATCCCAGTCTTCTGGGAGGCTGAGACAGAAGGGTTTCTAGTTTGAGCGCAGCCTGGACAACTTGACAACTTAGTGATACCCTGTCTCAAAACTTAATAAATAAATAAATAAAAGGGCTGGGGATGTAGCTTAGTGCAAAGGCCCTAGGTTCAATTCCCAGTACCCTGTCCCCCGAAATTATTAAATACTTGCTGACAGCTTCATGATTGTAGCTAGGTTTAGGCCAGAGAAACCCTAAGGTTCCTTGTGCACTCAGGGCTGTGTGAACCAGCCATGATTTGAGCCTTCAAGGAGAAGCCTAAATAAGATTCCTTCACAGTGGGGTGTGTTGGGTACAATGCAGACCTGAGTGTTCAGGATGAGCAGGAGGAGTCTATCTTAATTTGACCCCACTTTCATTATTTTACCTTGAGGAGGTTAGCCAGCCTTTTTGCTAAGGATTTATGTTGTGAGAATTCATGTCTTACCCATTCTGGAAAGTTCACAGCCACAACTTTTAACATTGCCTCTCCTAATCTCTTTATTTCCCACTTCTACAATCACATTAGTGAGTGGCTTTCTCATCTCTCCACCAGATATCCTTATGCTCCCTTGCTGTGTTTTATCTCTTAGTCCCCTGTGCTCTATTCTTCAGACTCATTTTCTAGTCAACACACCACCTCCTCAGCTCTGCCTAGTCTGACATTTGATTGATCCATTGGATTTTTAATTTCAGGAACTTAATTTTAAATGTATAGGTATTCAATTTCCTGATCTCTTACAATAATCTGATCTTTCCTATGTTACCTTAATAAATAAATATGGTTACTACTCTTCCGTTTATTTGTTGAATACTTTTTAAATATTATTTTGTAGTCCCTTTTGGATCATTCGGTTGTCTCAAAGTTTTGGAAGTGTTAGCTGCCCTGATGTTCATGATCATTAATATTCTCCTGTGGTGAGTCATTTCCTCATAGATTTTGTACATGTTTATTCTTAATTTATCTTCAGTGAAGGCTAATGTTACATCTTGTGGGGAA